TAGACAAGCAACTAAGAGGACGCACTAATTTGGAAGGGAAATAATACCAGACATATGGTGCACTCTGAATATCACCAGTCTGTTGCAAAGCTAACAGAGAGACAGACAAGCATTCACACCTACAGCTAATTTAAAGATACCACTTCAGCGTCACAGCCGGGTCCTTCTCTGTGTTATAAACGACACAGAGAAGGACCCGGCTGTGACGCCACAGTAGTTCATTTGTTGACTGATACATCGTCTCTCAGGAACGAGGGCGAAATGCCAACGACCGCCTGTCTGTTTTCAGGGCTGTATTTGAAGCCATGCTCAAATTAGGCAAAGTTTTAAGTGTTGCACATTTCGATGAGTTTCTTTCAGCTGACATAGTTTCCATTTGGGTCATGTGGCGTTAGATACCCCAGCGTGTGGTCTGGGGGTGAAGAGCCCGGACGATTAGTGGGATTTTAGGTGTGGTGTAAAAATGACGCTGCAACTTTAAAAACGTTGTTGCTTTAAGGATTAACGTACAACCATACTTGGGCTGAGTTTGACACTGGTTCTCTTCAGTAATTAAAATAGCTTTTACACATGATAAGATCAAATGTCAGCTACACTGTGACAGTCGAGGGGCCACACTCAGATATATTTATGCGCTTGTTCTCTTTGTGTGATATGAGTTTCCATCTGAATTTAACCCTTGTGTGGGGCTGATCTTTCATTTCATTTTATTTCAAGCTCAGACTCTTTGCCTTTGGCACATTTTCTGTGACGAGACTTCAAACCATTCCCACCGTCCTTATTAATCAACATGGTGAAGTGATTCTTCGGAAGGTGATGGGATGGGAAGAGTTTTCAGAAAATGAGGCCTTTTGTCTTTATTGGAGAGGTCAGTGCAGACAGGACGGATGGGGGGAAGGCGAGGGGGGAATGACACACAGGAAACGGTGTTGGTCAGACACAAAGACAGGCGTGGGCAGTGAGGACTCTCACCTTCAGCGGCTCTGTCTAATCAGTCTGACAGTGAGTCTGAAGACAGAGCAACCCAACACACATTACTGTGTTCATCATCATCATCATCGTTTATTTATATAGCACTTTAAAAACACACAAGGCTGACCAAACTGCTGAACAATAGAAACATAATAGATACCATAAGAATAATAAATACGATAAAATAATAAACATAGTGAAAAACAATAAAATACAAGTCAGTCAACCACTGAATAACCAGTGAATAAAAATGTGTTTTCAATCTGGATTTAAAAACCAGCACTGATGTCGATCGCCTAATGTGAAGAGGAAGATTATTCCAAAGCTTAGGAGCCACGACAGAGAACGCTCGGTCTCAGTTTCAGCCCTGATTTGGGGACTGAGAGCAACAGCTGCTCAGCTGACCGGAGCGAACGAGTGGGGACATAGGGCTTCAGCAAATCAGACAGATACGCAGGCGCCAGACCATTTAAAGATTTAAAAACCAACAAAAGAACTTTAAAATGAATCCTAAATTCAATTGGAAGCCAGTGCAGGGAGGCCAAGAGTGATGTTATCACTAAGCAGGGCGACCGTGGCTCAGGGGGTTGGGAATCACCCTACTTGCCTACTGGTGTTGGCCAGAGGGGCCGATGGCGCGATATGGCAGCCTCGCTTCTGTCAGTCTGCCCCAGGGCAGCTGCAGCTGCCTCCACCAGTGTGTGAATGAATAGTGGTATTGTAAAGCGCTTTGGGTGCCTTGAAAAGCGCTATATAAATCCAATCCATTATTATTATTAAGCAAGACATTAAATCAAATTAATGAGACACCAAAACAAGAGCTGGAGCCCAAGACAGCCATGAAGTCACAGTGTACACAAATACACGAGAAACACAGAAACCAGCTGGGTGGATGTGGCTTGGGAACCTTCTGTTACCTTGAATGTCGGTATTTTGAACGCTGGCTGCTCCAGTCTGCTTGTATTTGTCCAAGATTTCCCCTCATATCTTGGTTATGGTTATTTTTTCTTTTATTAAATTGATCACACTTCTGTTCACGAATGTGCTCTAACATCTAGCCATCACATAACCATCTACACAGTGTGTATTGTTTGGGAGTGAGAATCACAGGAACACTACACAAAGGGTTGATCTCGATCTTACTTTCCTCTGTTTCTGAAACCTTTTGAGCTTCAAAGCAGAAGAAATGTTGGTGTGAACCCTCCTTTCACTTCACAGCACTCGCTGGTTACATTTTTGGGTGCTAATGTGTGAAAATCTGAAATATGACGATTCACATCTCTGCAGCTACGTATCTCAAACAAGATTTACATTTACACGCAGGTTTTTTCCCCTCACGCAAGCAGAGTTATCGCTTCTATGATTTTAGTTATTTTTAGCACAGAGGAAAACTCTGCTGTCCTTTGTACGTGGCAGTTCTTTTTTAAGCTATGGAACCTTTTTAAAATTAAACGAGTTTTAAATAATGTGATTATAATGAGGAGGCAATCGCCTAATCTGCATATCTGTCTATTTTACTTCCTCACCCTTTGTGTTTGCTCATTGCTGTTACACGCCATTAAATTTCAGTCTTGAAGGAGCCTGTAATTCGGTGATTGTCTATCATTTGTGCAAAACGCGCTTCTTTCTTCAAACTCTGAACTCTGAAAAGTGAAGGGCTTAACCCTCGTTGTCGGCACGGGCAAAACGCAGTTGCACATCCTGTGTTTGTTTTCACACCCTTTCGGCACGAACTGCTTCTGTTCCTCACTGACCTTTGTTAAACACAATGCCCGCTGTGCCTGAGATCAGCTGGGGTTTTATCACTGGGCGCAATTTCTTTTTTATTGAACATCATCATCCGTTTAAATACATGCAGTCTTTTTTTTTCTTTTTTCAAAATAAAACCTGCAGACAGGAAAACGCCAAAGACACATAAGAAGAACAGAGCGCGGCAGAAAGCAGTGATGGGCCCCTAAGACCATCAGCACGGTCTAACCACAGTTTCCACACTCAGACACTGAATCAAAAAGATGCGCACACCACACACATCCACCCACCATTGTCTGCAGTCTGCAGAGAATTCAATTAATTTGATCAAAGTCACTGCAGCTTCTCTTGTGTTCTTTAATTTGTTAGACTTCATAGTGTTTGCATGGGCTGCTGAGGTAAGCTGCACATGCATCATCATGTGGATGGATGCAAAGTGCTGCATTTTGCAGTCTTCTTTTTGTCTGCATGTGTACTAAAAACAACATGCAACCTATATATGGCAACAAGAAACCTCAGTGCTCGATATCCTCTTTCGGCTAGTCACATCACCCTTGAGACATTATTTATGTTTCCTTATGTTTACCTTGTTATGTTCATGTCATTTATTATTATTTTTTCTTTCTTTCTGTGGAATTTGGTCACAGTTCTTGAGCTCCTTTCCAGACTAAAGTGATGTGTTGTAATTGGTATGTTTAACTAAATGACTCATATTATGATAACACAACATGCATCATTTATTTGCCTGCTTCTAAGAAACCAGGCAAATGCAAATGTAATTTTTTAAAGCGGTCTGAGCAGTAGTTTTCGGGGTCTCTGAAGGTCTTTCAGCTTTTCTTTTGTTTTTATTTCAGTGGCTACTTTACCACTTATCTTCAGTCACTCGTACTTTATCGTTTTCAGATTAATGTTTGTTTTTGTTTGTTTGTTTATTAAGCCACATTGGTGTATGATGATCAAACTGGAAGACCCAGGAGTATGGTGAAGGGAAACAGGAAGCAAATGATGAGATATGACAAATACTACAAGAACTGGACTGAAACATCAGTGACAGACGGTCTCATGGAGTGCTGAATCCAGATTTAAGAGGAGGAGGATTCAGGAGGAGACAGTTCCAATAATTAATTGCCACAGCTTTCTGTATCCAGAACATCCAGAACAGTTAAATCCTTCCCAAATCAAAAACCCTGGATTTTTGCTCGTTTGTGTTGTTGTGTTTGCACATCTCTGTTGCTTGTGGGGCTCGCACACAAGAATTTCACTCGCATGTGCTGTGCCAGTGTGCCTGCACATGTGATGTGACAATAAAAAATAAAAATAAAAAAATAAAAAAGTGATTTGTAAAACACAGTGGAGGCTCTGTTGTGGTTTGGGGATGCATTCCAGCCAGGGATGTTGGTCTTTTCAAAATTAATGGAATTGTGGAAATAGAAAAATACAGACTGGTTTTGAGGCATTTTCAGCACAATGATGAACCCATACACACTGCAGCCAATGCAGTTAAAGCATACCTGGATAGAAAACACATTGGAGCACTATCAGTCGTGGATTGGCCTCTCCAGACCCTGATCCTACTGAAGACTACTGAAAGAAATGATGAGAATGGTTGCCTAAGAAAGTTCAGACCACGTTGAAGAAAACAGGTGGTTATATAAAAAACTGATGTATACTCTTGTTGCTATTCTAACAAGGGTATACATCAGGACAGGAAAATATGCTGTATTTTCTTGTATGACGATTCAATAAATTGATGACCTCCCCCCCCACACACACACACACTGTTTTGGTTTCTATTTTTTGGTGTAAAGTATACTGTGGAAGAAACTGTTTGCTGTTATTTCTTTTAGAGTAAACCTTACAGGGGTTTATGTGTAAAAATCAATTACATTTGTTGATAAGTAATTCAATAAAATAAAATTTTCTGAAAGTCATGTTTCAATGTAAATTTATTACATTTAAATAAATGTAATAATTTAATTTAATTTAATTCATCTTTCACTGTTGAACTACTACGGGTAATTGTTGCCCCGCCCCCTCTTGTTACGTGTATTCTCATATGGTCTCGTCCCTGTAATAAGGGTGTGCATTTTCAACAGCTTAATCTGTTTTAAGCCATTACCATTAAATTCCTAAGCATTGTTTCAATATGGCTCTTAAAACCCTTGTTCATTTTTAAAAATTGTGTAAATATGGCACCAAATAATCAATTATAATGTCGTTAATATTGATTTCAGTTATTGTCTCCCCCTTTCTCGTACATGGTACGATCCCTTCCCGTTCGAAGTTGAAGCGGGAGGAAGTTGTCGATTTGTTGCCGGTTGTTGATGTTTCTCTAAAACAGAAAAGGCACCGCAGGTATATTATTTATCGAATTGACATTTATCATATTTATCGTAATTTAATCTTATGTTTTGAATAAACGAGTCACAGTTTCAGGCTTTTATGATTAGTTTATTTTCTGTTGTCATTACAATGAAAGATAAGCTGGCTAGCTAGTGTTAACACGGGCATTGGTTGTTTCTCTCTTGTCTCTCTCTTTGACAAAGTCTCCTTACAGTGCAGTTTTTGTTGTACAAGATGGACGTGACGACCTGTCTGAAGTCTCTGCTGCTGGCTATACAGCAGTACAGAGACAGCAGGACAGCGCAGCACGCAGCGCAGCTACAAAAACAGGTGGAGGTGAGCTAACTGTTCAGTTTATACATCCGTCAAACTGGAGAATCACACCTGAGTGGCTTTATGAGGCACCACGTGAGGCAAGCAGTGGTTTGGGAGTAGAATATACAAAGTAGGGGTTTGCTGTGCAATAATTTGGCCTGTGATTACAACTCAAAATGCTGTTAGGGATATGTGTATCGTATCCCTGTGTAGTTTACGTACATGCCGTGTGTTTGCAGAAGCTCTCAGGCCTAAAGTGCGAGCAGCTGCTGTCCTCAGCTCAGGTTCTGCCCAGCGAGTGTGTGAGTGGGCTGGTAGAGCTGGCTGGAAACCCAAGCACCAGCCCCACCCTGACGAGCTCCATCATCTCCCTGCTGTCACAGCTAGGTACGGAAGACCTCTTCATACTTTATACACACTTCAGCACCAGTAATGGACCATCACCTGAGTGCTCTGGCATTTTGAATTCAAGTTTATTAGTTAACTAAAACTTTGTTTTTTCACAGAAATGTGAAATTCCAGAAAAGTCCCAGATTTTAGTCTTTATGTGATTGCTTCTGTCAACCCAACAAGCATTAGGGGCCTTTGCAATCATGTCATAGGGATGTAGTTTTATCTAAATGGCATAAACTATTGTGTTTATATTGTAAGCAGAGGAGTAGTTGCCAGAGCAAAAGTATTTAAAACATTCACAGACAACTTAATCTGTATCGGTTGTCATTATGAAAGTGTTGTAAAGCCTTCTTTAGGCATCACAAAGCTGCTGGCGGGGTTTACCAAAGAGGCACCGTGTCAGTTTTGTGACTGAAAGCTGGCGGGCAGATTAATGTGACAATGGTTTTACAAAACAATCCCATGGGAGCGGAAAATTCTTTGGGTGATCTACTAACGGTGTACTAATTTCTTGCATTCAGTTCATTTCAATAATTATCTGCAAAGAGCATCACAGATTAGTGGCTCAGAAATTAGCACACCCGATGAGGGAGTCTGTTGAAGCCAGGGATGCTATAACAAAAGTAATATAGTGAACACGCAGGTTTTACACATTTCCCTCTCTGAAAACGGTGTGACAAATGAGAGGAGGTTGAAGAACAATCAATATATTTTTCTATGAAGGGTGAACTTATCTGATAGAATTCGTTAGGGACTGTTATGAGGTCCTGAGGTCTGAGACTCGGGTGGAGCTTGAAGACAGCTGTATTACCACAAACTGTCCCACCGTATACATCTGTGTGTAACAGCTGATCTGTACGATGTGCAGAAGAACACAAAGTAATTGCCATCGCCTCTGTCAGTGCGCCCAGGGCGGCTGTGGCTACAATGTAGCTTGCCATCACCAGTATGTGAATGTGTGTGTGAATGGGTGGATGACTGGATATGTAAAGCGCTTTGGGGTAGAGCAGGGCGATATGACCAATAATATTTATCACGATATACATTTGAAAATTTGCGATAACGATATAACTGACGATATAATTGACACTAGACAAAATGCTTTACAACTCCACAACTTTATTAGTGGGAAAAAAACAAACCATCAATGTGTTTTCACTTAAACAAGCAGCTGTTTTATCTGCATGAAAGTTATATAAAAATGTAACAGTGCAAATTCCTGTCTGACAGTTTAACCAAAAGGCATTTCCAGTGGAAACTGGCCGACATATCGTCAGCATAACCATGTATAATATCCACAAAACTTAAAAAGAGCTTATACACACACACAATACGGTAATATTATGTTGAAGCACAGTACGTATCACTCCGCGAGGCTCCGCCTACGATAGCCGTAATGCTCCGACAATCCATCAAGCGGTGCGGCTTCGTAGCTCAGCAAAGTCGTACTGAAACATGTGACAGATTTTCGAGCGCCGTGCACATAAAATCGTTTCGAGGTCAGTAAACACAACCAGAGTTCGTACATAAGGCACACGGGATTATAAGGGGCTCTGTCGACTTTCAGAAAAATCAAAGGATTGATTTTAAGTGTGCCGTATTTTCCAAACAACACGGTAATAACGACGGCCCGCTAGCATGCGCTACCAAAAATAGTGCTTTGTTGTGTGTCTGACGGACGGAAGCTAAACCAGTTCCACACCAGTGAAGTTGCAGCATTTTTACAAACCAGTTCTGGTTCATCGTTTCATTCAATGATCCGCTTTCGCTCTTCTCATTCTGCGTCGCCGCCATGTGCGTATGTAAACAAAGGCACTGCGCATGCGCGTTTTACCCATATTCTATCGCAATATTTCATTTTCTTATGATTGCCCAACATTACACCGGTATCACCGTGAACAGTATGATACAGCCCAGCCCTACTTTGGGGTCCTTAGGGACTAGTAAAGCGCTATACAAATACAGGGCATTTGCCATCAGATCTCAACTTCTCTGAAGACATGGCATGTGTGTGTGCATGCAGTGCATTTTTTTAAACCTTGAAATAATGATCATTACATGACATAAAGAAAAAAGATCAGTGTGTCGATTTATGCATGTGACACAGTAATGTGTAACTTCAACACAGGGACGGGTTAGGATCAGAGTGTAAATAACATCTTGTGTTCTTCTTTGCACATCGACACTGTCAAAGATTCCTATGTGGTTGAATAGTTTGGAATAAAACAGCTCTACTCTGGATGAGTCCTACCTCCACCTGAGTCGTCAGATATATGTGTAACTCTTGAGGTTAATGCTAGAATAGAGGGACAATTCAAAATTCACCAGATAATGAGGCAGAGGGATGGCATCGCAGTCGGAGGGGTGACCTATCATACAGGGAAGAATATAAAAGAGAGGAAATGTAAGCACCATGTAGGAACTAATGAAGATGGGCACACAGATGACTTTATGTTCTTTAATTCAGTCTGAAGCTTTATTACGTTTCCTGTGTTATAGCCGAGCAATGTAAATTTACCGCTGTGGTGAAATAACCTTAAAAACAAGTCAAATGTGCACACCTGTGACCGATATGCTCTTCTGCATAAAAAACTGCACTTCACATGCGATTACAATGCCTCCCTGAGCTGTTGACAAGAACCTTTCATAGTATAACTGGTCCAAACACTAAGTCTGTGAAGGTTCTCAGTCATACAGGTCATCGTAGTCTAAGGAGCTTGGAAATAAAAGCGTCTGGATGTCTTTAAGTTGCTTGAAGACGTTTCACCTCTCATCCAAGAAGCTTCTTCAGTTCCTGGGTCAAATGGTGGAGAGTCCCAGATTTAAGCCCTGTGGGAGTAACCCCCCCGAGAGGGACAAAAGGACCCCTGATGATCCTTTACCTAATCACATGAGCCGAGGTGTGAAAACGGATGTAGGTCACAATCAGCCAAGGTTTTGGGTGAGCTCATTGTGAAACCTGGTCCCACCCTATCATGTGGTTTCCTGAGGTCAGATGGCAAAGGGTGTGAGTGGGCATTAAGGCGTCTGGGAAGGGATCTCAAGCTTCTCAGATGAGAGGTGAAACGTCTTCAAGCAACTTAAAGAAGTCCAGACGCTTTTCTTTCCAAGCTCCTTAGTTCAAACACTAAAACTGAAAACTAAACTCAAACGAGCAAATCTGGAACTGAAATTAAACTGAGTGGAAATCAAATTCAAAGAGAGCTAATGTGGAAGAAGTCATGAGAAAATCTAAAGCATCAGTAACTTTGTTTACAGCTGTGTGGACATCATACAAAGTGAGTTTTTCACTGCCACAAAGACTGTTACAGGTTCGAGCTCACACATCAAATCTCCGGCTTTATATAAAATATTGTTGTTCCGTGCTTTCAAAGTATTTCTGTGATGCAGTGTTATTTTATGGAGCCGAACAATACTTGACAATTGTTGATTATACAGGCATAATATATAGAAATACATGGTGCCACTGGCTTGAAAATGTGTGTGTGTGTGTGTGTGTG